TTATTAGGGTTTAGTGGCTTTGGTCTGGCAATCTGGAAACCTGCTGCAAAGGTAGAATGCCACAGGCTGAGGCCCACCTGAGACTGAGGGTGTGTGTTTCTTGGGAAAGCCAGGGTGGAGGTGCTGGCTGACTGTTGGTCTTCAACCCCTTTGTTCAAGTTTTAGCTTGGCCCTCTGGATTAAATTGAGGTGGGCAGCAGAAACCCAGCAGAAGAAGTGCTTCAACAACCACAGCCCACCAACCCCCACCACAACCTAAAGTCACCAGGGGCCCAACCTCACCAACAGCAAATACACCATCAAACCAGGCCTTCTTAGTGTTTATTAGGGTTTAGTGGCTTGGTCTGGCAATCTGGAAACCTGCTGCGAAGGTAGAATACTACAGGCTGAGGCCCACCTGAGACTGAGGGTTTGTGTTGCTTGAAAAGGTAGAGGTGCTTGGCCGCCTATACTGTAGTATAGTTTAATTAAATTGCCAGGGGGCCAACCTCGTGAACAACTATCTGAGTGCCACCCCCTGGCACCTAAATAAATAAAGTTCAGGCCCGACCCTGAAGCCTGGAAGTCAGGGTATGTTACCAAGACCTCGAATTGAATAAAGTTCATAGGTTCTTATGAAGAAAGTTGCCTCAAACTCCGCACTTTTATTATTTCGGTAGCAAGGGCTATTTTTCAAAACCTACTGATGGTGAGCGGTGACCGTGGGTTTTCTCACATGGCCGTGGCCGTGGCCGGATGGCCAGATGAATGAATCACATCAACTGTATCTGCTCATAGTTTCTATGGTGGTTGCCACAGGGATGGAAGAGAGCAAAACAAATTTGTATACATGTGGGCGCAGTGTAACCGATCCATGCATTCAAACAGAATGACAGCGATGAATTGTCTCAACGGTTTTCTCACAAAACCGCGCCTTTTCTGAAGAACCTTCGAGCCACTGATCACAGCGGTCACACACTGATAAGAACAGATACTACGCCCGGTCTTCTTGACTGCACATGTGCGTGTGTCATCCTTGCTGCAGGGGACCATGCTAATTATCTTTCGTCACCCCGCCCTAGGAACATCCAGCTTCATGGGTTCCTACCTTTACATTCTCTCTGTGAAACTCCAAGTGGTTTCGCTCTCTCAATCCTGCAAGTCATTCTCCTCATCAAAATTCCGAATTCGACCATTTTGGTCATTGGTGTCTTCACCATCACGCTCATCTCCACCTTCTCTGTTCTCGTCTTCATTCTCCACATTCGTTGGGCCATAGTGGATCTCTGCCCATAGATCTGGGCCCTCACTCTCTTCCTTCGGCCTCTCAGACCCACTCTGTCCATTGGGCCCTCACTCATCTCATCTTCTTCTTCGCCTTCTCCATCTTATCGCTCGAAGGGGTTCGGTTCGACCTCCTGAGCAATTGCTCAGCAACCAAGTCAGACAGACTAGGTCGAAAAATGTTCAACGCTGTTGCTGAAGCTGATGCCGGATCCTCTGTCGATGAACTTGCTGTTGGATTAGAATCCGAATTTCTGTCTGCTGAACTAACTCGGCTCTTCATTCAACTCCTCTTGAACTTCTTCCTCAACTTCTTCGCATTTCTTCGCCTTCTATCTCAACTTCGCTGTACTGTCCTTCATCTGGCGCCTCCATCTTGCACACGCCTTCTTCGCGAAGCACAACTGCGGGCCTTGCTGTTGCTTCCTGATCTCCATTCTCATACGCAGACCTGCCTCCTGCAATGTCTCCATTGCTCTTGTTGGTAACTGGTTTCCTTGGAGTGCGATGTTGATCTGAACTTTCGTGGCCTGAGCTTCTCCCCCATATGTAGCCATCTTCATCAACTCTTCCGTCTCCATAATCATTCCATCGGTCTTCTTCATTTTCATCATCACCATCACCTCATCTGGAGGATTGTCTGGATCATCATCATCATCCTCTTCTTCGTCTTCTTCAAGCCTTAATGGATCTTCGCTTCACTTCAAAGCCAGTCCTCTCCTTATTATCTCCCTCCAAGCAAACCTGCACCTTGCCAGTTGAATCCTCATGTTGCGCACCCTGTACACCATCAATGCTATCACGAAAAGTCAACACTGTTGCGCACAACACGCAAATGCTCCACATGCTGCTAACCAGTGTCCTCTTCGTTCCATCACAGGTGTCATCAAATTGACTGCAACCTTTCAGCATGCCTGAAACCAGCAACATCTGCAAAATTCGCTGAACGCTTGGCAGGCTCAGTCACTATGGAGTCCAATGAGTCAGGCTAGGCACTCTCTTCTTTCTCTTGTCAACAACTTCGCGTTCAAGTCTGCAGGCCTGTCCTTTGCTGCAATCCTGCCAATCTTGCACCAGCCTCTCCTCATCGCTTCTTGGCCCCACAAAATGCGGGCGCGTAGATGCTTTGCTCTCCCTGGGCCCAATCTCTGAAGAAAGCCTGGCTGAAGCCGAATTCAGGTAGAGTTTCATCTCCACTCAGCTGCCATCTCCTGGGTCCTGCTTGCACCCCAGAACAAAACTGAAGCGCTTGCTTCAAGGAAATGCTCTCAGCCAAAAGGCTTGTGGCCGCTAGCACTTCTGCCTCCATCGATGAGAGTGCGATGGAAGCTTGCCCTCTTGAATGGGAGTGGACGCAATTCCCATCGCGGAACACCAAACCTGAGCTCGTGCTCCTCCTGCTCGAACGCGACGATGCGCAACGCTCAAGTGCTTCCACCTGCTAAACACGCTTGTTTGGCCTTCACTTGTCTCATACCTCAAAGCCATGTCCTGCGTCGACTGTAACTAGGTCGTCAGCTTCTTGATCGCTGCCATTGCTGTCTTTGTTGGAGTTGCTATGTATGATGACAGCAACCTTACACTATGTTGTACGCCGATCCTCTCCTGACTTAAGTACAAGGCACAGCTCCAATGCGCTCCTGAACAACTTGCTGTCAGCATGGCCTGCTGATCTAGCACCTGTAGCTCTTCAGGGCTGACCTGTGGCGGTCCTGCACCTTCATCGAAAAAGCCTCGCTTCTCCATCTCCTCTTTGGTCAACACAGCATCCGACTGCGTTGCTTGCGGCTGCTGCCAATCGATGGCATCATAGCCTTCACCTTCAACTTCTTCTTCTTCTTCTTCCAGCTCTAACTCCTCCACCTGACGGATCTGCCTCTCTTGGTCTTGACTTTTCTCATGAGGTGTTGTGGAAGATGTTGTTCTTGCCGCTGTAGGGCTAGGTTCCGGCACAGGTGTATCTGGATCAAAATGAACTGTTTTTGCCACACCACCTTGACCTTGATCTCCTTCTGCCTTCTTCTTCTTCTGGTGGGAATGGTCATAGCGACTTTCTGTTGCCTCTCTGCAATCGCTGACTCAACCTCTTCGACTGGTCTCTTCACGGAGGTATGAACTCCTTCTGAAGAAGATGCTCCCGCTGAAGCTGTTGGCGCTGAAGCCTCTTCCACTAGCGCAGCAGGTAAGGATGCTCCGCCTTGCTCTTGTGCTTCATCCACTTCACTGTACTTCTTCACATCCTCTGCATCTCTACAGTATCTGTATCTGGCTTTTCTTTCTGCTCTCTCCCTCTCTCTCTCTCTCTCTCTCTCTCTCTCTCTTGGCGGCTTCGGCGGCAAATCACTCAACAGCTCTGGTGTTGCCATTGGCTTTGTATCGACTTTGTATGAACACCACGCTTCATGTCCAATGGTCCAGCCTGGGCGTTCATCAGAAGCTCCCCATCCCATTGCCCACCTGTCTTCCTCACTGCGTTGCATCTCACTATCTCGCTTTCGTTCAGCAAGACCAAATCTTGATCCATCTGATCTTTGCCCAAGCAAGCCCTTGGCCTCCATTGGGACTTGTATTTGCCCTGTAGAGGATCCAAGCCCTGCACTGTCTCGCCAAAGCAACAAACACGTCCCTTCACAGACAAGTAGGCTGCCATGCCTGTCGCACTGATCGCATGGTACCTGTTCAGCAACCAGCATGCTTGAATGCCCATGAGTGCAACACGTGCATCTCATCAAAGATGATCTTTGCTCTGTCCTAGACGTGGGCAATGATCGTCGTGGCTTGTGCTCTCACCGTCTGAATGCATCTCTCAGCCAATGATGTTCTCGACTTGTCATACAATTTGCCAGCCTGCAGAGTTGTGCGCAATCCATTGTTGTTCCTGATCAACTTCGCCATTCTTGCACCTGCAGCTAACACTGGTTCATTGTCGAAAACAAGTTCCACGGTTTCATAGTGGTCAAGTGTTGCCAAAAACTCGGCAATCACTTCGCCAATCACTCCTTGGCTCTTGTTCTTC